CTATAACAATAATTTATGGATTAAATAAAAAAGTAAAACTATTAGAGATATAAACATTTAATTTTTTATGAACCTATTACTAAATAATAGTATCGCGCAAAACATCATAAAATATAAAACTAAACTCACTTTACTATATGAGCATTTGATAACTAAAATAAATGGATAGACTAAGCATTTTGCTACCAATTTAATTAACGAAAAATGCAATTAAGATAAAAGTCTGAGAGAGAGAGAGAGAGAGAGAGAGAGAGATCATAAGAAAGTATTTCTAACGACCAATTGTTACACTTGAATACAACTTTAGGCTTATTATTAGCTTAAGAGAAACCGTTACACCTCTTCCGATGGCTATAAGTCTTGCCGTTTGAATCCATTCTCTATATCCGTATAGTATTTATCGTCAAAAGTCATAACAAAAATTGCTTCCATATCCTAAACCATGATCAAACAAATTATTTTCTGCCTGTATCATTATTTAAATAAAAATTAATACAAAGTGCTGTATTAAAATGTATTTTTAAACAAGAATCTAATAGAAGTATTCAATTATTCATTATATTTAACAAATTATTCACTACTTTACTTGAAAAAACATTTTTCGGTAATACTGTATAAAAGGATTTTGTCTATAAATACAAAACATTTTTCACTGATAACTCGCAGGCATTTTACACAAGCCTTGATAGAAAATATATGGATATATACTGAAAACCGGATCCTTTTAGTAATACAATATTTAACTCCGAGTCGTGGATTCAATAAATGAAGTACTTTTTGAATAAATTGCACGACAAATAAAATAAAACTTTTTAAATTGATAGACGTTTTTGAAATCCACAAAAATATTATATATATATTGGAAAAATACTTACCAAATAATATAAATATAGTGGCAAACCCTGGAGTGTTGAATAAAAGTGAAATACAGAATCGACACCAAAATGATATTGATATTAAATCGACAAAAAAAGTTCACTCACTTAATCTAATCCAATAAACATTTTGTATCACTATTTTGTGATTACTTTCCCAAAATATATACTGGTAATATAGGGTCACAGAGTATTTAGTAAATACTATTTATTTGGTAAGCTAAATACAATTTACTGGCTATTTTAATTAAAAGTTAATTGAGTAGTGTTTCAATAAATACTGGCGTAAAGCCTACCGGTTCTTAGCATACAATCCAGAAAAAAATAATTGTTCCCTAAAAACAGGATTATTTATGTTTGGAGTGAAAGTACACATAAGACCTAATGGTATGAACCAATAGTGAACAGTATTATAACTACTGAATACTGTACAATAAAATGCTGAACTAGTTTAGTAAATAATCGAAAAATAAATACAAAACTTATTTTTTATTTTATTTATATTTGTTCTAGCTTACTAATAATCTCTAGGTTGACAAACAATTTTTATTTATTGAACATGATGTTGAGGGTCATATCAAAATATTAGTTGCTTGAATTTATATTATGCAGTTTTAATGTTATAGTATTATTGTATGACTTTGGGAATAATGTAATAAGTTTATTCATACAGGTAATTCTGATAAAAATATCTCACGTTTCTTAGGATTTCTAAGCTTATATTTCTAGGGACTATAATAACTTAACATGCTAATTAAGTCTAATAAATATTAATACGCAAAGCTATTAATCTTTAATAGAAATCTAACAATTTTTATCAAAAAAATAAGAGATGTCTAATTAATTGCAACTTAATGTTATTTCTAAGCTTATACTTTTTTCCAAGAAACCATAAATATTAATAAAAATAATATCTTTTTTTCATTATCTCTAGACTACCGCAGATCTACTGCAACCATACGGCTCTAACGCGAGCTTTTCATAACAGAAATGAGATAACAGACCAGGAAATGGCTGACCTGTTTGTACAGCAAAAAATAGACGCAATCATATATATTATTGTAAGCCATCGGACACACAATTATCGGTCCAATTGTTTTTCATTTCCAACAAATTATATACACTTTTCCAGTGTTAGCCATATATGAGAAATATAAAGTCACGTCTAGTCTTAGACACAGAATCTTATATAACACTATATCTATCAATATATTAAATAATCCACTGAATTATAACATAGTGTATGACATGTAATTGCAACGAGATTTTTGTTTTGTCGTATCTATGGTTCACTTGTCTAATGGTTTTGATGATATCCACAGATTGTCCTAATCTTCTACGCCGTGATAATAACCATCGTTTTGGTGACAAACTGTCACCGATTTCGCGAAGAGAGGTTTGAGTTCCGGATACCCAGACGTAAGGACCTACTGGTGAACAGCGACAGTAGTCTTCGGATATTGGATCCCAACAAAGAAGTCACCACTTATTCGGCCATCAGTGACGAGACTAACGTCTAGATTGAGTTTCATATGATATATGATTACGATTTCTATCATCTATTGGTTGTCAATGAAAAATAAAACCTTAAAAAACTATTTGTTTCCAAATGTTATACTTAAATATATTTGTTAATTTTAAATTAAAAACTACTTTTCATAATTTATATTACTATATATATTAACTTCATTCAGATATATGGTTTCATTGTTTATATTATAAATTATTATGTAATCAAAGATTATATAAAAGTCCTAAAAAACTTTTTTGTCAAATGTTATATAACGTAATGATAACTAATTATTTGATGTCGTGTTTATATATATCTATTATTCTGTTAAAAATTCTGTGTATTTATATATCATCTATAAGTTAATACAACAATAAATATATTTTTTAACGACATTTATCTCTCTATGGGATAGTTATCTATGAGAATAAAATAATAATTATCTCTCGTATAGAAAAAAGGATTTCTCGTAACAAAAGCCTTATTCCCAGAAATGATGACAAAATCGGTATATGTTTTCAACTGTTAAATCACTGAACAGATACAGTTCCCCAACCAGTTATGGCAAACAAAAGCCATACTAACGTTTCAATCATTAATTTCTCTCTCAATCTCTACAGTTATAGCGATTTTGTAAGACTTAGTTTCTAAAAGACTAATTCGTTTTAAACTTTTATAACAATCTGATATTATTGGACAGAAATCTTAAATTAAAATATAGATTACTGTGCGTGTTCAAATAAAAAATTTAAACATTATTAAAGTATTCCCAATTACGTCCACTGTAAACTGATTTCAAATAATTTGAGATTAACGTTATAAATAGCAAACTTGTACTGGTATAGTATAATGTGAATAAAATATTGATATTTTATTATAATATGCAATTTGAAATTTTTATTTTTGAATCTTGGTAACAACAAATATAATAAATATTTGATTTATAAATCGTTATATTTTTTAGATTTTAAAATTACTATTGATTTTGTAATTTAATAAAAATTTATCTAGAAAAATCTATTATCAATGAAAATTTATCACATTTTAACATTTAATCCAAAACCACTTCAATTAAACAGTAAACTAGTGATTGATGTGTGAGTTATGAGACAAATATTGAGTCCTTTATCTACAGAATCTTAATTTATGAGAAATAATAGATTTGCAAACAATTCTTGAGCCAAAAATTAATGTCATAAACAAGTGTTGACTACAATCTCGCGATTCACAAACGGCATCAATTTTGGTCCCAATTATCCGTCAGTTAAGACATTTGCCACAAGTTTTATTGTAGTGTTTGATTTCTATGGAAAATCAATAAATACTTATTAGACGTAATAAACTACAGGTGAGAGTGAGTGAGAGTGAGTGAGACTTTGAAAGTGTGATAAATTTAATAAAAGTTCATATATTCCACTCGGATATTAAATTCTCTACTTTTATGCAATACTCAGCAAAAAATAAATACTTTTCACTCGTTTTCAGTGAGTGAGAGTGAGTGAGAGTGAGTGAGAGTGAGTGAGAGTGAGAGAGAGAGAGAGAGAGGGAGAGAGAGAGACTGAATGAATAGAAATCAGAGCAAAATAAAAGACAATTAACACACAATCGAAAGGAAAAGTTTTGCTGAAATATAGTGCAATGAATGTGTTGTGAATAGCAGTTATAGACAGGGAATCGGGAATTGCAAAACTGGTGGTGCTTTCAGAGATTGCATTGTGTTTCATATATTTACTTAACTATACAATACTAGTCGTGAATACAAACGCTATGAGAGAATATTCTTGTGAAACGTTAAATGTGTTGAAAAAAATGTGCAATTTTTTCATATATATTCTCTTAATGTTGTTTATCAGTGTTTGGGGTGAGAGGGGAGTGTGTGGAGAGACATGACATTTGAAATAATCGTTGATTTATTGCATTTAATCCAATAATTGCTTCACTCGGATGTGTGGTGTGAAAGAGGAAAATGATTTATTGCACACACTTTGAGCGCACTTTGAATACAAATCACATATTTTTTGTAGACCCAAAAAACATATTGTAGTTTTCATAGCCGTATATGTGGTATGAAACTGTTAAACTGTATGAATGAATGTGTATTTCATGTCTTGTTAGATATGTTTTTGATGGTAAATAGAAATTAATTATGTTCATCACAATTGCGTTAAACATGTAATGAATAAAAATTTGTGTCAAAACATAGCATAAAGTTTGCGATGAAAAGGAAATTCTATATTAAAAACTCGAGAATATGTCAAATAAACAGAAAAATTGTTATTTAAATGAATTTAAATGAAATATTTTCACTCAAAGACACGTTCAATAACTTAAGGAAATGGTATTCAATAAAAGAATATTTGATTCATATTTTCATATAACATGTATTGAAATACATATAAGCATAGGTGAGAGGGGAGTGTGTGGAGAGACATGACATTTGAAATAATCGTTGATTTATTGCATTTAATCCAATAATTGCTTCACTCGGATGTGTGGTGTGAAAGAGGAAAATGATTTATTGCACACACTTTTAACGCACTTTGAATACAAATCACATATTTTTTGTAGACCCAAAAAACATTGTAGTTTTCATAGCCGTATATGTGGTATGAAACTGTTAAACTGTGTGAATGAATGTGTATTTCATGTCTTGTTAGATATGTTTTTGATGGTAAATAGAAATTAATTATGTTCATCACAATTGCGTTAAACATGTAATGAATCAAAATTTGTGTCAAAACATAGCATAAAGTTTGCGATGAAAAGGAAATTCTATATTAAAAACTCGAGAATATGTCAAATAAACAGAAAAATTGTCATTTAAATGAATTTAAATGAAATATTTTCACTCAAAGACACGTTCAATAACTTAAGGAAATGGTATTCAATAAAAGAATATTTGATTCATATTTTCATATAACATGTATTGAAATACATATAAGCAT